TTTTTTTCAAAGCTACTCTTGATTACATATAGCTTTCTGCTTTAGATTCTGACTTCAGACTCTAGGTTCTCAACCTTCTTAATGCTTCGACCCTTTAACCCAGTTCCTGGTGTTGTGGCGACCCCTCCCACCATAAAATCCTTTCGTTGCTACTTCATAACTGTAATGTCGCTGCTGTTACGACTCATAATGTAAATATCTGTGTTTCCCGATGGTCTTAGGTGACCCCTGTGAAAGGGTCGTTAAACCCTTAGAGGGGTGGAGACCCACAGATTGAAAAATGCTGTTTTAGAACATCATTTCCATGTAGGATACAGTTCTACCGCCTGGGTATGGGCCATCCTCCAAATTCCTCCTCCAGTATCAAGTCAATAACTTATGGCCTCAGGCAGCACTCAGCATCAGCTGAGAACTCTAGTGGTCAAGTTGACATGACAGTCTACCTACTTACAACACTGCCCCACTAGGATCCTTGAGAAGGCTAGGGGCGCAGCAGGCCAGTCTGTCAGGCCCTCAGGTTTGCTCCTAGCTCCGGATTTTCCTTTCTTTTTCCATCAAGGACAGCTTTTACATCACATGGGGAGAGGGTGACAAAGCTAGTTACCCTCCCCAGGACCCTACAGGCTTTTCGTCCAAATGGGTGACAGGTAGGTGGATAAACCGTTCTGTATGGACTAGGAAGGACTTGTTTGGGTGCAGACTGCAGTTTCCAGGCTCTGCCACAATCCTACCCCGAGTAAAGGACTGTGGGACTTCCAGCCACCCTGGACTGTGTCCACGGGCTCTCAACACCCCGGACTTAGTGCTCTGCCATAGCACTCACTGGCCTGAGGCTCCACGTTTCCAAAGAGTCACACACAATTGCTAAAACTGTCTCCTTCCTTCTTAACCCGAGTGGGTCAGAGTTTCCATTTTTCAGATAAGGAAACTGAAACGTGTAAAAGTAAGGCAAAAATCACAGGTTTCCATCTGATCTAAATCAAGATTCTCAGATGGCTCATTTGACTTTTAGTTATTACAAGGGAGCATCTTTTCCTTCAAAATTTCACATTTTTTCCTCACCCCTTCCCTCCAAATTCTTAAATGTTTTCCACCTTCATCCTCCCCTTTCTTCTCTCCAACTCAGATTTCCCCAAAGTCTGAACACTGCCCAGAGTCCCTGTGGATCTTGCTTCAAGAATACATCTTTCCCTTTGCTGTGGCTGAGAGAACCCTACTCACCCGCCCCGCGACCCCCAAGCCCATCGTTGCTCAGGCTCTTTGTAACTGACTGGCTTCCCCAGTCCTTCGCTCCCATCCCTTCCCCATCACCGAGGGTCTCCTTCCGGCACACAACCGGCCCCCAAAGTTCCAGACTCGTTCCTCCGGCTCTCCCGGGTGCAAGCCGCTCGCGCCCAACAGTTCAGGCCTGAACCTTTTCTTTTTCCATCACTGTCCCGTCCCATCACTTCTGCGTCGCAGTCCCGGCTCCCGCGCGCTTACCCGACCAGAGCACGAGCTTGCCGTGCGCTTCCTCCTGTGAGTCGGAGTCCCCAGCCAGCAGCGTGGTGGTGGCACCGTAGGGCAGCGCCGAGCCCAGGCACACGTTGTAGCGCAGAGGCTCGCAGTGGGCGGCCCGGCCACAGTGGCTCAGCAACGGCGGCGGAGGGCTGGTCACCGGCGCGTTCCTCCTCCCGCTACCGCCGGCGCTGCGAGGCCCAGGCCCGGTCGCGTTCCCGCTCAAGGGCGTCCCCCGGCCCGGGCCCCCCAGCAGTACCACCAGCAGCAACTGCAGCAGCCTCGGGGACCACAGCTCGGGCCCACGCGCGGAGCGGCCAGCGGCCATGGCCAAACCCGCCAACTCAGCAGAAGCCGTGGCGCCCCCGCGCTCCCCGGAGTCCCCTGGCCAAACACACGACCCCGGGGGCCGCGGAGGCTACTTAGGCGACCAGTGCGCCCCGTGAGTCTGGGGCCGGCATTCGCCAGGCGCAGCGCGCGTCCGGGCCCCTCGGCTCCCAACTTTGCAAACTTTGGAACCCGGGCCCCATGTTGGGCAGCGCAGGCCCGGGCCAGGATGCACCGACTCCGGACTCCCTCGCCTGGCGATCGGAGTTGTCTTCAGCCCTGGGAGCCCCCTGGGGCTCCGATCTCCAGCCCCATTCCCTCTCCCACCATTAAAACCAACTCCCAGCCCCTCGATGGAGGCCAGGCTCCGGCCGGAGGGTGCGGGAGTCGGCCCCCGGCTCCGCCCCCACGCCAGCCCGCGGCCCAGCAGCCACCTCCGCGCGAGCGCGCCGCAGCCCCCTGAGCTCTCCCTGCCGACTACCGGGCTCCTTTGTTGCTCTAGCTGGCCCTGCTCTCTGGAATGCATGGGCCTCGCGGAGCCAAGCCCTGCCCCCCCCACCCCCCTCCGCCAAGACTAGGGGAGGGCTTGGGCGAGGGAGAGCAGGAGGAGAGTAAAGCTGGGGAGGAGGAGCCGAGCTTCGGAGGCCTAAGCGCCTCCGGGGCTGGGGCTGGGGGATTTAGGAACCTTCATTCCACCCGGCGCCATGAGGGAGTGAGATGCGTGCAAGTCGTGTCCCAGAGCTGCTGTGAGGCACTTGACTGAACCTTTAGTTGTTCGACGTGATCATTTTCAGGAGAGGACTTTTCTCCGGGTTTGGGGTAGCAAGCAGCGGGATGCCTGAAGTAGGCAAGAGTTTTCACTCATCTCTGCCCAATTCCCCTGCCCCGCCGATCTTTCTTGGGTTTGGTTTAGATCTTTCAGCTTAACCTGGAACCCTGGTGAAGAACCGTGTTTGGGGTTTCTGCTTCTTCAAATTCTTTCAGCTGGAGATCTATGTGGGAAAATGAGCTCAGAGTCACCCAGAGTAGTTGCTATTTGTTACCTGTGGGAACAGAAGTCTGGCGTGAGAACAAGTCAACACCAAACATTTATTGCTCAACTGTGTCGTCTGGACTGTGATTCCCACTATGTCCCTGGTGCGTCTTTTGTCTATCTTCCATGAGTCCTCGCTGCTCATTTGCCCCTCATCTGTCCCATGAAGTTTCTGCCGTTCCCTTCCCCGCTTAACTCCTCTTGCTTTCCTCATTATTTCAGGCAGCTCCTTTACGTGGCAGCTCCCTTACGCAAGGGAGGCTAGGAGACTGGTTACCTTGAGTAACTTCTTGTGACTGATCGGGCGACTCAATAGCAAGGGAGGCTAGGAGACTGGTTACCTTGAGTAACTTCTTGTGACTGATCGGGCGACTCAATAGCGCAGTTTTTTTTCCCTCCTCTCCTTGTTTCTGTAAGAACAGTCCACAGCCTAGCTCACTTAACAAAAATAGTTTCTATTACCCTTGTTGTTCAAGAACAAATTGGCTACTAAACTTCAGATACTCTTAATTGGTACCCGAGTCCCCAGAGTTATGGAAGGAATTTAATTCAATGTGGGGGCTTGTTTTTGTATTAGTTCTTTTCCTGACACTGTGGTGAATATCTTAACAATAGAAACCTTAAGGGAGAAAGGACTTATTCTGGGCCCACAATTTCAGGTCACAGTCCATCATGTGGAGAATTCAGGCAGGGAATTGAAGCATTCACCATCGCTAGCAGAGAGAAATGGACGCATGCATGCTTACTGGTACTCATCTGTACTTACACTGTCCAGCATCCCCTGCCTAGGGGATGGTGCTGCCCATGGCAGGCAGGCCTGCCTGTATCAACTAGTGCAATCCGGGCAATCGCCCACAGACACACCAACAAGTCAGCTTCAACTAGAGATCCCACATTGAGATCCTCTCCCCAGGGCATTCTAGATTGTGTCAAGTTGACCATTGAAACTATCAAAAGAGGCCTTCTAAATTCAAGTGGAACTTACCTTCTTATAGTCTTTGTATCCACATAGCATTTAGCTCACATACTATATGCGTTTAGCTCATTTAGTATTTACATATTAATCACTTGATTAGCTGCTAAAAATGAGGTATATTTGAGTACGCCATGAGAATTTTTAGCAAAGAGAAGTCAGTGTGAGAAGTGGATCGTGTGGGATTTGAACCCATTACTGAAGTGTGACTAGAAGAGATCAGAAAGAGAAAAATAGACAAAGACATGTGTGAGGAGTCCATGACCACAACAGAGAGTGTGGTTGGGCCGGTAACTGGATGTAGTTGAGAGTAAACAGGGAAACTTATTAATAAAAAAAAACTCACATGACAGAGGTATTAACACTTCTACTGGTAATAAAAATGTAAATGATATGGGGAGTGATATTAATCATTCATAACTAATAGCACAATGTTATGATAGCGTGATGGGCAAGAAGCTGGAGGCAAGGGACCATTTGGAGGGAAGTCATTTGTGATTTATGAAAAAGTATAATAGGCTATGCCCCTAGGGCATAGCATCCCCACAGAAAAAATAATTTAAAACGTAATGATATTCTTCAGGGTTTCTTTTTTTTTCCTGTGATAAAAATGAAATCACTGTTATAACCTGTCTCCATCTGCGCTGGGCAGAAAGCTACCCTGGAGCCTAAGTCACACTGACACTTTGTGAACTTCCTCCACTTATTTCCTGGCTGATTGTTGCCATGGGTAGTTTTGTTTTCTGAGACTGGCTCTAACCCTAACACTAACCCTGGCTGGCCTGGAACTTGATACTTAGACCAAGTTGGTCTTGAACTCATAGATTCACCTGCTTCTGCCTCCCAAGTGCTGGGACTAAAGGCGTGTGCCATCACTGCCCAGCAGAGTTTCTTTCTTAATGTATGGAATACTGCCTCCAGCCTTCAAAGCTCTCATGATCCTGGTCATAGTAATGCACACCTTTAATTTCAGCACTCAGGAGGCAGAGGCAGGTGGATGTCTGTGAGTCTGAGGCCTGGTCTACAGAGCGAGTTCCAGGACAACCAGAACTGTTACACCGAGAAACCCTGTCTCAAAAAACAAAAGAAAGAAAGGAAGGAAGGAAGGAAGGGAGGAAGGAAGGAAGGAAGGAAGGAAGAGCGAGCCTCTGATCCTTCTATGCCGTCTCCATGGTGTGTGTGAATGTCCTGGCTGATGCTCTCACTAGCATCTACGATCCTGAGAAGAGAGGCAAACACCAGATCCTCATCAGGCCCTGTGCCAAAGTCATCGTTCAGCTCCTAACTGTGGCGATGAAGCACGGCTACCTCGGTGAATTTGAAATCACAGATGACCACAGAGCTAGGGAAGTCGTTGTGAGCCTCACAGGCAGGTTGAATAAATGTGGAGTGATAGGCTCTATAGCTGATGTGCAGCTCAAAGACCTAGGAAAATGGCGGAGCGATCTGCCCCCATCCGGTCAGTTTCCCTTTTTGTACTGACAGCCTCAGCCCGCATCATGGACCACGATGAAGCAAGGCGAAACACACAGGATTCCTTTTCTAGGGATGTGAAACACATGAGTAAAAATCCTCCATGGGGGAGCAGGGAGAAAGAGGGAGGGAGGAAGGAAGGAAGGAAGGAAGGAAGGAAGGAAGGAAGGAAGGAAGGAAGGAAGGACCACATGTGCTGAGACAGTCACCTGCTCTGCTTTACTTTTTTTTTTTTTTTTTTTGGTTTTTCGAGACAGGGTTTCTCTGTATTGTTTTGGAGGCTGTCGGTCCAGCCTGGCCTCGAACTCACAGAGATCCGCCTGCCTCTGCCTCCCAAGTGCTGGGATTAAAGGCGTGCGCCACCAACGCTCGGCTTGTCTCTGCTTTACAATCCAGGTCCTCTTCAGGTACCTCTCTCTCTGTGTCTGTCTGTCTGTCTGTCTGTCTGTCTCTCTCTCTCTCTCTCTGTCTCTCTGTCTCTCTCTCCCCCCCCACACACACACCCCATAAAAATGTCCAAAGGTGATTGCTCAAACTATGAAGGAGGCTCTACCATTCCTTGCCTGGCATTTCTTGGTAGTGACAAGGAAAATTCATGGTGAAGCACGGTGGCCCCTGCCTATGGTACTGCTGCTTGGGAAGTGGAGGTAGAGGTGGGAAAACCAGAAGTTCAAAGTCACCCTTGGCTATATAATGGGCTAGAGGTGAGCCTGGACTACATGAGACCCATTGTCTAAAAAAGAAAAGAAGAAAAGGAGCCCAAACCATCAGACTGCAGGACTGTACCGTAATACCGGAAATAGGAGAGGGATGTTTTGGTTTTGTTTGTGATGTGTACTTCGGTTGTCCTTGAACTCTTGGCACTTCTCTTGCCTCAGCTCCTGAATGCTAAATTATAGGCACGGCTGGAAGAAGGAACTGACAAGAGTTTGGGGGCAGATGGAAGAAAGATGGCTCAGCTGCTCTTCCAGAGAACCAAGGTTCAGTTCCCAGTACCACACGGCAGCTCATAACCATCTGACACCCTTACTGGCCTCTGCAGGCACAGCGCACAGGTGGTCCATAGACACATGCAGGCAAGACATTCATACACATAAGATGATCATTTTTTTTTAAAGAACTTAAGATGTTTTTCTGAGACAGAATGTTCTTCTCGGAAGGGAAAGGTGAAATTTGTTTTAATTTCCCAGATTTTGTTGTGTGTGTATGACTCCATTCACCAGGCTTCAGGGTTAATTTTGGGGGAGGCTCTGTTGACCTAACAAAGGGAAGCAGGAAAGCAGGCAGAGGAAATGCCAATGGAGCTCTCCTCATGGCGCTGTCCACAGCTGCGGGACCAAGTGGTCATGCATGGCGACACAGCCCGGTGCTGCTCCCTAGACACAGAAGGAAGCAGGAAGAGGCTACGGGAAAGGAGCGCGCTCGTGAGGACGGAGAAGAAGATTTCCCGGTGTTCCTTCAATAGCGCTCAGTCTGTCCAAGCTGAGCATGACTTGATGCGCTCTTGGTCTGCAGCGCGGTGCTAAGACGCCGATTCAAGAGTGTTAGGCCTGTCTACATGTCCCGGCACAATTCTGCTGTCAGGGCCGTGAGAAGCTGCCGGAGGTTACCAAGGCGTTACAGAACTTGATTTGCTACGTGTAGCTTCTTGATTTCTGAGTCATTCCTTTCAAAGATCTTGGCGTTCTGAGGTCAAGTAATCACGGTTGACTTTTTGTGATTCGCCTGTGGGCCCTTCGCTCAGGGAGGAGTGAGCAAACCTAGTTATCCGGTCTCTGTGGATACCTCCTTACAGTTCAGCTGTTCTATCGCCAGAACCTGGAGCGTAGCTTGCATTTTCCAGTTCTTCCTTCTCTAGTGTTTGTTTTTCAGTAAGACATTTAGCATAGGGAAGAGTCAAAATGGAAACAGGCCGAGGGAGCAATCTCAGAGGAGTTGGCAACGTAGATTCAAAACTGAAGACTTGCACTGGCCTTTACTGAGTCACCTTGTGGGTGACTTCTGTACTATTCTTTCTTCCTTTCCAAAAATAAAGAAATTATCTCTCGTTCCCATAAAGCAGCAATGAATGAGGAAATTAAGATAGCGATTACATTTATAATAAAATTTAAGAGACTTAAATACTTTTGAGTAATTCTGACCAAGGAAGATGAAAGACCTGTACATACAAAGCCATAAAATACGGGCTGAGAGATATCTCAGCAGTTAGGAGCACTTGTTCATCCAGAAGACCCAGGTTCAATTCCCAGCACCCATATGGTGGACCCACTCCAGTTCCAGGAAACCCAATCCAGTCTTCTGGCTTCCTTGAACTCAAGCACGCACATGGTACACATATATACACTCTAGCGCACATGCATTTACATAAAATAAACACATATTTAAAACTTAAAATACTAATGAAAGAAAATTTTAAAAACCTTAAGTCAATGTTCAAAGTAGGAAATCTCAACATGGTTAAGGTATGAAATGAACAACAGATTTGACATTTTCCCTAAGAAATTCCAACAACCTTCCCAGACCTTGTAGCCCAAGTCTGTAATGTCAACTCCCCAGGAGACTGAGGTGTATGGATTATGAGGACAAGGTCTGCCTGGGCTACAGAGTAACTTCAAGGCTAACCTGGGAAAGACTATCTTAAAAAGTAAAAGAATGAAATTTTTTTTTTTTTTGGTTTTTACGAGACATCTGTATTGTTTCGGAGGCTATTGGTCCATCCCGGCCTCGAACTCACAGAGATCCGCCTGCCTCTGTCTCCCGAGTGCTGGGATTAAAGGCGTGCGCCACCACCGCCCGGCAAGAATGAAACATTTTTTAAGGGCTAGAAATACATTCAGCAGTAGAATGCTTATCTAGCATGTGCAAGGTTCGGGGAGAGTCCCCAGAACTGAAAATTAATTAATGAAATCCAACAGCATCTTTCATAGAAACAGACAATCTTCAAATCCACATGGAATTATGAGGGACTCAGAGTAGCCAAATTGGGGGACTCACCCTTCTTAACGTCAGAGCTCTTACTATTAAAACACATGGAGAGGGGAGGTGTGGAGAAATGGCTCAACAGTTAAGAGCGCATGAGGTGACTGACAGCCACCCAGAACTCCAGGTCCAGGCTATCTGACACCCTCGACTGAACTCCAACACCAGGCATGCACACGGTACAAATACACACATGAAGGCAAACAGTGGTAAACACTTAAATAAAATACATTTCTTAAGCTGGGCGTTGGTGGCGCACACCTTTAATCCCAGCACTCGGGAGGCAGAGGCAGGCGGATCTCTGTGAGTTCCAGGCCAGCCTGGTCTACAGAGTGAGTTCCAGGACAGCCTCCAAAACAATACAGAGAAACCCTGTCTTGAAAAGCCAAAAATAAATAAATAAATCTCTAATAATTTTTTTGCCAAACAAAAAAAAAAGAAAGAAAGAAAGAAAGAAAGAAAGAACAAAACCCAAGTCATGGGGAGACACCAGAACTCAGAGCATGCAGCATGGGTCTTACAAAGTAAAGGTAACTAAGCCATGTAAAAGAATGTAGATTAATAGATATGGGTTAATTTAAGCAACGAGAGCCAGTTAGAAACAAGCCTAAGATATCTGCCAAGCTTTCATAATTAAAAATAGGTCTCTGTGTCGTGATTTAGGAGCTGGCTGGATAGACAAAAAGATCCACCTACATATGTGTATACATACATCTTTACCGTACGTGTATGTATAACTATACCATGACTACCTGGTACATAACTGTAATTCCAGCACTTGGCAGGTGGAGGCAAAGGCTACACAAACCATGTCTCAAAAAAAGTAACAGCAAAAAATTAACTTGTTCAAATCAAAGGATACTGTCAAGAAAGTGAAAAAAACTACAAAATTGGAGGAAATTTTATAAAACATGCATCTAGTAAGGCAGTAATATCAAGAGCATTTTTGTTTTTGTTTTTGGAGACAGGGTATCTCTGCGTAGCTTTGGAGGCTGTCCTAGAACTCCCTCTGTAAACCAGTCTGTCCTCAGACTCACAGAACTCTGCCTGCCTCTGCCTCCTGAGTGCTGAGACTAAAAATGTGTGCCACCACCCACAGCAAGAACTTTCAAACCTCAACAACAAACAACTGAAATCTGTGTTTGTAGCTCGATTGGTAGAGCTCCTGCCTAGCATCCACGGGGCCAAGTTTCATTCTCAACACTGAATATATTGGCTGGGGTTGTGCCTGTAATCCCAGCATGTGGTAGACAGAAACAAGAAGCCCAGAGTTCAAGGATGAGACCCTGTCTCAAAAACAAAACAAGAAGAAAAGTTAACTATATATCTAACAAAACACATGCAGAATCTATATGATGAAAAATTAACGTTAAAGGAATAAGTGAAAGGCAACTCAACTCTTAGGCATACCGTGTTCGTGGATTAGAAGACTCAATGTGGCAAGGACTTCTTCTTTTTCTTCCTCTAAATTTGTCTTTAAGTCCTCTTGCTTCATCACAGCAGGAGCTGAGTATCGTAGAGTCCTTAGCCTGGCCAGAGAGTGACAATGGCAGGATTTCCACAGCATCTGTGACCTGAGTTCCACAGCTCAGTCTCTTTATCGGGCTTCTGCAGGAAGCTCCTCTGGCTGGAGAGTTAAGTGAGATTTGTTCAGATTCTAAAATGAATGGAAATACAGATCTCGTGGGTAATAATAGTTTCTTCTGGTTGTTAGCAGTAATTCCTCAGACAGTTACATGCCACTAGAAGATGAGACACTAGAATGAACTGTGGCTCTGGTATTTATGACAGAGAAAAATTTACAAAAGCAGATTTATCCAAAGGGAGAAACCAATGACTGTTTGGATTGGTACAAAACGCCAAGATATTGTGAGCAGTTAGCTAATGATATTCTTGTAAACAGAGCTTTTTTCTCTAAATATTGTTCTTGATTTTAAAATATCTCATGAAGTTTCTCTGCAGACATAAGTTTATTCTAAAATTTGAGTGGAAGTTGGAAGGCCTTAGAGAGCCGAGATTTCGTCAGTGTG